CACATCCCACCTCCTGCTCTCAGCTCAATGGCACACGTTGCTCCCTCGCACAAAATGCCAGGGCACTTCCTTCGCTTTGGCGGAAGGGTAGCGGAGGCAGAGGGAAAGCACAGGGCTGTGCCCAGCGGGGAGGGAGGTGCAGGGCCCTGGCAGGCCATGAGTGAGGCAGGCTTCGAGCGCTCCCGTTCACGTCTCCCCGGGGTTACAAGAGTTCCCTTGTGGTAGCTGTACTTTTTTTTTGGAAGCCGGTTCTTTCCTCGGGATCTGTGATGTAACCTTCGCCTGTCTTTCCTTCTTTAACCTCTACCTCTAAAATGTGTTCAAAACTTGAACTTTTAGCCTGGGACTCTAAGTTTCTGACCTGTATAAATAACTGCCTCTTTCACATTTCCTCTTGGATAATGTTTCAAAGACAGTTCAACCTTAGCATGCACAAAACTGGCCTCCCTTACTCTGCCCCTCCACACCCTGGTCCTCCATCTTGTTCCCTATTCCAGGGAGTCGCCCCAACCAAATCCTACCTGACCCTTCAGGAAGAGGCCTGGAAGCCACCCTAGACAGCTACTTCCTCCTCCCCTCCCATCTCCACAAGAATCCAATCACCAGCAATTCCTGGTGATTTTGCCTTTCAACACCTTGGCATGTCTCTCCACAACCATTATTACCATGTCTTGCACTCAGGCCCTTCCTGTCACTGGGCCTTTGCATGTGCTGGTGCCTCTGCCTAAATCAACTCCCCTCCTCCTATACTCCCTTCACCTGGCTGACATGAGCTTAATCAATCCAAGGAAGCCTCTGATGATTGGATCAATCCTCCCATGAACTGCTTGCTCTCCAGGCAACTTTCCATTTAATACTTATCACAGTTATAACCTTAGGATTCTTTGAATAATTTCTTTCTCCCTGTTAGACTGTTATGTTCCATGAGACAGGGGCTATATGTATTGTTTTCATTTTTCTAAAACTACTGCTTAGATCGCTGATGCCAGCTAGTAAGCACACCTGAATGAAGGCAGGATGAAGCATGCATGTGCATTCAGACTTTAGCTGCAGGCCGTCCTCTGTCCCTCAGCACTGTTTCCCTAAGAAACGCAGGCTCCGTGCTGGCACCCTGTGACAGAGCTACCGCACCAAGCTCAACTTGCCCAAGAAGCTTTTTGTCAATTCCAAACGTTTCCTGGGAGCAGCCTTCCTGCTTCTGGTCCTCTGAAAAAGGCTGCTCCATGCTGTTCTTGCTAGATGAGGGCAAACTTACAGAAGTGTAGGTTTGGGTTGAGGTCAGAGTTTTAAGGACAAAAAACAACTTTTCATTCAAGTATTATATACTATCATAACACTTAAACTACTTATAACATTGGAAATCAATTTTTGTTGTTTCTCTTTTATCTCTATCAATATTTTTAGAACAGATAAATTCATAAAAAGCTTGTATGACCTCTTCTTTTTCTTTATGGCTTATTATTTCTTATTTCCAAAACTCTTTAATGACATTAATTCTCCCAGTCTTCAAATATAAGGTGCTTTCTCCTAAGTTTCATTTGTTAAAAAGGATTTTTACAATTTTGTACTTTGTTTGGAACCTGTGCCCTTGGAAACAGCACACAATTAAAATTAATTAAAAATTAATAGATGATACAAAAAACATAGGCAACAAAATAATAGGTAAAATGGGCTTCATTAAAATTAAAAACTCCAATTTTAAAAATTAAGAGAGTGAAAAGACAACTCACAGAATGGGAAAAATATACAAATCATGTATCTGATATGGGTTTAACATCCAGAATATATAAAGAACTCCTACAACTTAAGAACAAAAAGACAAGCAACCCAATTAAAAATGGGCAAAGGACCTTTCAATGGACATTTCTCCAAAGACAATCAAATGGTCAATAAGCACGTGAAAGATTGCCAACATTAGAGAAAAGTAAGTCAAATCACAATGAAATGCCACTTCGCACCTACTATGAGACATGTCAGACAGGAAGAGCAAACACAGTAAGATCTCCTTCATATGTGGACTGCACAAAAGACAAAAATACTGTAAAATGGTGATTTGTCAGGGGTCCAGGGGTAGGGAAATAGGAAAGATGCTATTTAAAGGGACAAACTTGCAACTAATAGACAAACAAGGCCTACAGAGCTAAGGCACAGTATAGTGAATATAGTCGATACAGTATTATAATCATTAAACTTGCTAAGAGGCTAGATTTTAGTTGTCCTCATCACAAAAAAAGAAATGATAATTATGTGACATGATAGAGGTATTATTGGCGCAATGGCAATCCTAGTACAATACGCAAATGGACCAAATCAACATGTACACCTTACATTCACATGATGTTATACATCAAATACATTTCAAACTCCCCCCAACACTTCTCCCCTATGAATAGAGCTGTTAAAAAACAAACAGAAAGTAAGTGTCAGCAGGGGTGTGGTGAATTTGGAACTCCCGTCACTCTCGTTCCATCGCTGGGAATGTCAAGTGGTGCAACTGCTGTACGAAACAGTTGTGTGGGCCCTCAGTAGTTAGATACAGAATCCCCACACGGCCCAGCGGTTCCTCTCCTGGGTGTATACGCAAAAGAAATGAGAGCTTCAAACGCACGCATACGCACATGCTGGTGGCAGCGATGTTCACACCAGCCAGAGGGGAAAACAACCCAAATATCTATGGAGGCCTGAATGAATAAACAAAATGTGGCCAATTCTCCTTATCTGGTAACGATTAACCAGGTACTATGTTCTGGAAAGTTGCGGCAAAGACTCAGTTAGCAGATGCTGAAGTGGTCCTCCTCTGGGAATTACAGGATTAGGTCCCCGGTAGCCACTGGTTGTAACATTTTCATCAACTGAGCTACCTACACATGATCTTGTTTTATGCGTGTTTCTGTTTAAAGACCCCTTATTAACAATACTGTTCATTCGTTGACACTGAGCTCACCGCCAACAGCACTCTATAACTCATTCCTGAAAGAAGCTTTTCTAACACCTGCATGCTCTCCCCAAGGCACAGCACAGCCTTCTGGCCCTTCGGAACACTAGGCGTCAGCAATGTGCGTGGGGGTCATTTTAAACAGTGAAATCACCAACAAAAAGCACAACAATGCAGAACCGTGGCACTAAACAGACCATGAAGAGGACACTTGTTTACAGCCTGGCAGCTGAAACGAGGTGGCAGCCTCAGCTGAAATTCCCGCGGCGGCGACTCAGACTCACCGTCTCTCTGCGCGTGCCTGCAATCAGCCCCCAGAGAGCCGTGAGGCTTGACTTTGGGGTTACAAATAAGTGTGGACAGAGGCGGATACACAGGCACAGAACCTGTAAACCATGAGGATCCACTGTATGTACACAGAGTGGAACAGCATGCAGCCATGAAATGAAGGTCTGACACACGCTTCAATAAGGGTGAATGCTGAGGACGTGCTAAGTGAAAGAAGCCAGACACAAAAGGACACCTACTGTAAGGTCGCAGTTATACGCAATACCTAGAATAGGCAAATTCATAAACTAGAGGTCGTCAGGGTTTGGGAGGAGGGGTGAACGTAGGGTCACTGCCTGCTGGGGTCAGGGTTTCTCTGAAGGGTGATGGACAGGACAACGGGTGCAGAGCAATGTGAGTGCGGCGGGTGCCGCTGCCCTGCGCACTCACAGTGATTACCGTGGAAAATTCTGTCATACATATTTTATGACAAAAATGTCTGTACTAAATAAAACTAAATAAGTCATTATAATCTTCTGTTAAAATGGAACGGAGACACCCCGGATGACACTGACAGAGGTTCTTATCTACCCTCACTTCCTTTTCAAAGGGAGACTCTCCTTAATATGTTTTTTTTTTGGTTGTTTGTTTATAAACCATATTTTAAAACAGGCTTATTATTTAATAATGTCAACTGATTATTAAGGAGAACAAGTAAATTAAAGTGTGCGTGTCAGTTCTTTGGCCTCACTTCACGCTTCTGGTGAACATTTTTGCAGCAGTACAGTTATTCCATGTGATCGCCAAAAGAAGGGTCACCTTGAAGACCAACAACTGACGCTCCTGATTTAGCCTGGAATAGGCTGTCGGCGGCACCCACATCTGAGCGAACTAGTACCCCCAGGTAGATGAGTACTGGTGCTATTTCAGTAGCTTGGTACTCTGTGTCCGCTCTTAATCTTTTCCATTGCTTTTGTTTCTTTTATCATCAATCTATTCCTCATCTGCTTCCTTCCCTACTGACAACCCCTATTTTCATATCTCTAGAGAGAGCCATCTGTCAGAGTATAGCTGTGGTTCACTTCATAATTCAAACATTCCTTTTTATTTTCTGTATTTCTTGACCCAACACTTACAAAGAAGCACTGCTGGATATAGACGGATGAAATGTGCTAATGTGGAACACAAACAGTATTAAAATGTAAACTTAACATAGGAAGGAATTCATGGCCAAAGAAAAACCTATTGCGATTCTTTCAATCTTTTAAGATGCATCATAATACTAAAAATGCTTCACTACAGAATAACATTTTGGCTTCTCTTAGGACTGTGAAGAAGAATGATTGTGATTGTCATGAAAACACATGGAGCAGCTGTATACTGTTAACAAAAGAACCATTATATGAATGTGCACAGAGACTGGCACTTTATACATTCGCATTTCCTAGAAATTAGACAGTCTTCTCAGCTGAAGTAGATACCAAAGAGACTGTTTTCTATTAATCGTGGCTTTGTACCAGTTAAGTTTTTGGAGCCAACTGGATCATCTTTCTTTTGGGACAATTCCCACATACTATTATGTGAGATTTATATGTACTGATTTATATAAACTCAGGCATGTGCATGATAATTTGGTAGAAAGTAATTTTTAAATTCTCAAATGATAGACTTTTTTTACTCTCAGAAATGCAAGTATGAGTGAATTCTTTCACAAACATACATCTGTTTAGAAATCATAGAAGAGCATAACAAATAACTCTGCAGTTTACTTCATGAAGGCTAATTAATAGGTACTTACTCATTAAAGACTAGGTCTGGTGCAAAGTAGAGAAATTGGCTGTTCGTATGTTTGTACGATCTCCAGCTCAAGGCAAATGATGATAGACACATCCAAGAATACTGGATTAGGGTAATTTGGTCCTCAAGCGGCAGGTTTTTAAATCCTGAAGAACAGAGCAATTAAACGCAGACATACACTTAGCACCGAAGCCCACTCCAGGAACAAGCTTAAGTCAGCCCCAAACAGCCGCCTTTCTCTGACAGACTCAAACCAACCCCACAGTCACTAACAGGGCGCCCATGACAGGCCTGGCCCTGTTGAACACTTCATTTAAATGCACCCTGATTCTCAATGAGGGTGAACTGCCCGGGAAAATAAACCTGGGGCGTTCAGGGCATTTTGTGGTGGATGATGGTCTAAAACCCTTGGTTGGCATGAAAGAATTTGTATTTACCTGTAAAACTTCTTTATCCTACTCTCCACAACATTAACATAAAGGATAATTTAATAACCATCAACTACTGCACATCTGCCATAATAGAAGATTTTACTCCTCTTGAGTTTGCGGTGGTTGAAAAAGTATTATTCCTTGCCTCCTGTGGTCTGGGATAACACCGGACTTCACCAAAGCTCTGAAGTGGGGTGAGCAACCTCAGCCCCGGTCCTCCCTGCACCCAAGCTTCCTTTCTGGGCCTCAAGCCCTTCTTTTTTCCCCTTTTTCAGGGTCCTATTTCCCAATGATATCATGCTGTTCTTTCAGTTGTACAGTTTCACCCAGGAAAGCTCCTCTTCAAAGAATCAGTCATTGAGCTTTCCCCGAACCTTTTCCTTATGTTGCTGGTTGGCCGTAGGTCATTTAAGAAACTGCTTTGGATAAATGAACGGGGACAATGTGATAGTAATTCTAAGTGATGTTTCTGTAGATTAATAGAGGCCTTATTAATAAAATTCTATACCATGAAAAAAAGACGAAAATGGGAATTTCAGAGACAATTTAAAGGGTGCTAGTTCATGAGGTAAGATGATATTCTTAGAAAGAACAGACTTTTAGGGGCACAATATGACTCAACAGATAAGTCTTGGTTTCCTTAGTGTGTGGTTAGATAGCCTTGGTTACAAGCTGCTAGTAACAGGCTCAGCCTGTGCTTTCACGACCAGAATGTATTTTACCTTGTTCATATTTCTGAGATGAAATTCTCCATTGCAATCCTCAACACAAGAACTAAATGATATATTAACAACAGAACCCTTAACTCTAACTCCTCAGGGAGAAATGGGCCCACTAACCAGGTTTCTGCTACATACTTCATTAATTTCATGTCAATTTAAGAATTTGCTATCGGAACTGCAGAGAAAGCTAACTCCAGTCACTGCTGGACGCGGTGAAACGTGTTGCCTGGACATGTCTAGTTCCGGACACTGACCGTGAAAGGAGAGGCAATCCTACCTGGAATTACCTTTGCCCACTTCACGACTTGAATCATCTGCTTGCCTGCCAGGCGGTTCAGAGTGGAGAGCAGATTTTCGGCGGTGTCAGGTTTGGAGCTGTCGTAGCCCGCGTACACAACTTCAGGTTCGATGTTCTCGAGGATCATGGCAGGGGAAGGCGTGAGTGCGCGAGAGATGGTGGAGAGCTGGGGGACCAGCGCTGTGTTGACAGAGGGCTCTTTTGCAGGCGCGATGTAGGTTGTCCCCTCCTCGGGGCTCTGGGGCGGTGGGGGCGGGAGCGGGGGCTGTTGCTGCTGCGACTGTTCCTCATGAATCCCTTTTAACTTTCCCAATTTCTTTGACTTTCGGGCTGTAAAAAATTATAAGCGATAAGAGCAAATTAAAATTATAATAGGGACACGCTACATTGGATAAATTACAACCAAGCATTGACTTATATAGGGTGGGGCAAAAGTAGGTTTACAGATGTTTGTATAGAAAATAATACAATAATAAACAAATAATAATACAAGAATAAACTGTGCTTCATGTACTCACGACTGTAAACCTACTTTTGCCCACCCTGTGTGGGTTAGTGTGCCTGCCTTTCCGCTAAGGACTCGTGATGCTAACAGAAAAAGTATCTTTTTAATATTTTTCTAAAACCAGACACTGTCCCAATGTTTTATATAAATTAACCAATTTAACAATTTTAGGATTAGGTGCTGTTCTGACCCTCATTTTATAGAGAACAAATTGAGACCAGAAAGGTTAAGGAATCTGTCCAGATCACACAGCAAGTATCCGGTAAAACAGTGATACAAGATCAGAGGAAAGATAAATCATCCATATGCTAATAAATTACACAGGCCTCACCTGAATCTTATGCCACTAATTCCCACTTATCCACCAAAGAGAAGGCAGGCGTTCGGATGGCCTGACTGAGCTGGCCACCTAGGGGCCGACCCTGCTCCCTCTCAGTAGCTCTCCCTGGCCCTCTGACCCGTTCTCCTTTGCTGCTTCTTACTCTTCTGTTGCGGTCCCTGCACAGCCACTTGCTTGTGCAGAGTAGTTATTTTGTGCAAGTGCTGCTAGCCCTCATCCCCAGCTTATTTGTGAACTGCAGAAGCACGAAAATTGGGTGTCCCCCTCTTTCATAGCCCCTGTGCCACCTTGGTAAACACTATACCCAGCAAAGCCGTCTCTGGATTTCCCCTGTATGAATGGGAGAGCAATCGGCCCCATGGCAACATAACAAATGGGAAGAAATTAAATATCTGGATGGTTCCGAACTGGACAGGAACTGATGTTACAAAAAAGTTCAGGTACACCGATACACACAAAATATAATCTTTAATAATCTGTTCCACTCTATATTTTTAATGTAAGTAAGCAATTCACATATCATATAGCCTAAAACTTTAAAAAACCATAATACTACCTAAGAATCCCACTTTAGATTTTTAGGAGAACATATTATGTGCAAGTGGCCATAAGTTCTGATGCACCCAGAACAACCCTGGTTTATGCTTGTCTCCCCAGCCAACATGATTACCAATAGTGCTTGTTTACTCCTAAAAGTGCCAGATTTGGGTCAAAAAAGAAATACTGTATTTATCTTAGTTAAAACCAAAAGAAGCGGTACTAACTTTAATAACAACTGTCTTTCTTTCACACTCCTCTCAAAGGCTATGAAAAGAGATCATGGAAAATGAAAGAATGATGAGGAGGAAGGGAATGCTGGCAGGTAGATGGGAGGGTTGGGGGTGGGTGGCAGGGGGTGGGGTGAGGGACAGATGGACAGACAGGGAAGATTAATCACCGTACAAAAAGAAGAGAAAGCCCCGAACTTAGGGCTATGGTAATAACTCACATTGTAATTGTAATGTTTTCCATTTTTAAAAAGCATTTATTTAAACATTCTTGAAGACCCAGACAACTTCTTTTCAGTTCTAACATATGTGAGGAATTTACAGGATATAAATTTAGCACAGTATATGACTACGCCACACCAGTTAACTTGATTTTAAAAGTAACCATTCACGTTTACAATTACAGTCATTAATATTTACCACATCCATCACAGAAACATATACCAGTACAGATAAAAGACAAGCCACTATGCGACAACAGCTATATCTGCCACACCTTCAGTAAATATTGGAATGAGCTTAAAAGATGAACAAGATATAATTCCTGTTTTCAAGGAGTTTAAAATCAGCAAACAACTTTATGCTTGCTAACTGCAATCACTTCATTTCTTATAGAACATCTCCTTCGATAAGAAAGGTCAAACAGAAAAATCTGACCTTTAGAATTGCCTGAATGAAAAGCAGGCATACTGGACTCACATGTGCTAACGGGATCTGCGGCAGTATGGCGGCGGTGAGCACCCAAGTAGGAAACCGGGATGCTTCTGATGGATGAATGAGTGGGTGAACAATAGAAAAAATAATTGGTCACGTGCCTCAAACACTAGGCAAAACAGAGAAGGAGAGGAAAAGAACCAAACACCGAGATAATCCAACATGTTGGTTGGTCAACGGATGACTCTCTGAAAGCTTGGGAAACTCCTTAACAGCACATGCTGGTCATTTGGGAGTCAGATACTCGGAACTGCTTCTACGTCACATCAGCTTTTCTCTAAGCCACACTGATTGTCATATGAAAAATGGGGACAATAGTGCATCCCTCCCTCCTGCCTGACACAGGGCTAAATGGATGAGAAAAATAAAAACATGATGAAAATCATTAGTAACATCTGAAATAATGTTTCAGTGTTACCTCCATTCTTTCCCATAATTTTGCAGCTATTAAAAATGTTCCAGTTCATTAAAACACCCTCATCCTTTATAAGACCCGATCTGAGGATAACCACAATTTGATTGACTAGAAATAGCCCAGGGTGATATTTTCAAATTTTATTAAGAGTGATATTTGCTTGCAAATTAATTATAAAATTCGATTCACATTTTTTAAGGCCTTAGGTCTATAATGCTTTGTTTATTTTCATGGTCGCTTTAAGGGCAGTGCTATGAAATGCCATGAAGAAGAATGCTTACTATTTCCTCTAATATTATGCACAAAGCTGCGGCCTGGAGCATAACCTATAGAGCAGACTATCAACATAATGTTTAGCATTTCAGTTACATTTAACTTTATGCTGTGATGCTATGAACATATGCGGGACACTTGCAACTGAATGATAATCTACATTTATCCAAATAGTTCAAGATACATATGCTCATCAGTGTGCAGATTCTTCATCCAAGTGTGTTTATCCCCTATCTTTTCTAAAAGCATGGAAGGAAGGTTACATAGGAATTATACGGCTCCCAGTAGCTTTCCTAAAACTCTTGACAACTTCATACTTCTTCCCTAACACATGCTGTATTCTAAAATTAAAGCTCCTGAAAGGTGATACAGTCATATGTATTCCTATGATATCATTCTCCATGATGCTTGGGGGGGGGGACTCAATAAATGTCTGTTGACTAAATTTGTTTCATTTTCAAATTTTAATAAGCTATTACATATATATTAATTTACTTCCATGTAGGAAATGTTTCTGACATTTTAAAAATAAAATTTCTTAATTATTCTTTTCAAAATTTCTAACTGTATAATTATCCATTGTAGAGTTATTGCTTTTAAAGATTTTACTTATTTATTTTTAGAGAGAGGGAAAAGGAGGGACAAAGAGAGGGAGAGAACCGATGTGCTGTTGCCTCTTGCATCCTTCCCACCAGGGACCTGGCCCACAACCCAGGCGTGTGCCCTGACCAGGAATTGAACTGGTGACCCTTTGGTTTGCAGGCCAGCACTCAATCCAATGAGATACCAGACGGGGCAAGATATTGATTTTAAAATGCCATCACTAACATAATAAACTAAATGTGCTAAGTACAGTTCTAAACTGTGATTAGTTGTATTATTTCCATTTTACAGGGGATGAAACTGAAGCATGGAGAGGTAAGAACCTCAGGGTCGCAGCCAGGGCTGCGTTTTGACCCAGCTGGGGCTCAGAGCCCAAGCTCCTAACCTCTACGCTGGGTGCTCTCTCTTCCAATCCTTTTCTCTTTATCTCATGCACACTTTTTTTTTTTATACTTTGCATTAGCACAAACTTCAAATCCAAGTGTATAATTAAGAAGTTTGCTAATTACACAGGAAAATCTATAGCCAAAGATACTCGATGAGCAGGTTTCCATCGTCCAAAGCGGCAGTGAACATGAATGTGGGGCCTCATCACTACCTACCACCTTACCTAGTGACACATGGAGCTAATGGTCACTGGGCTTGGGCACTCAGGCTCTCCAGTGGCCAGGGCCACATGTGATTGCTCAATGGCCAGCAACAGCTGTGCGAGTGTGCCTGTGTGCACACCTGTGTGTGTGGGTGCGGGTGTGGTGTGCATTAAGATGGCTGCAGACGTCTCCCAGGCCCACTTACACCTACAGAGTCTCACCTGCCCTACCTGGATGTTACAGTCCCTAGTACAGGGGTCACAGCTGCCCGCAGGTGCCAGGTCCTTAATTACCAGCAGCACTTGGACAGACACTTCCTCCTGGCCTTGCTGGGAGGAAGAACTCTAGTGACTGTCCATGAATTTCCCCCCAGCAGCTGCACAATGGGGACGCCCTGCTTCCTCTCCTGGCCGATGTGCAAAACACCAAACGGGGAGCATCCGACAGGACCCTACAGGGACTGTGGAAAACTCCCAGTGGGGATCTCAAGATGCACAGAGGCCGTGAACCATGGCGTGACCAGACTTCCTTTTCGCTCCGCTCTTCCTCCTGAGGCTGCTATGGCCTGGTCCTGGGGGTGGCAGAATGATGGCTCGGAGCTCTAGCCCCCTTGTATGCCCCAGGGAGACAATGGCGTCAACAGGGTTCTCATGGCACTTTCAGCACTATCGTTCGCAAGTGTGTTCACTTGAGTCTAAAGATTCTTTAGGCTTTGAATAGGTAATCAGTACAGCTGTTTTCCCCACTTTGAAAGTAGAATAAAAGCCTGATATAGAATGTTTTCAATCACAACATTTCACTGGAAAAATTTAAAGTGAGAAAGAATTCTGTTATTTTAGAAATACTTCATGCCGTGTCTTGCAATTTCAGGTCTTGGCAGTAACTATGACAGAGAGGATGCATTGAGGTTATAGGAAAACACTTATTTTTCTGTTCGCAGGCCAAATGTGATCACTGGCTTTACCCCACGGGCCAAGAACAGCATCTGCCCCCGGCGCCTGCCTGTCACAGACCACTTCTCTTGCCACCAGCACCTGGATCACGGGCTCCCACTTCCCACACCCTCCTCATTGCCTTTCTAGGGCCAGAGGGAAACTGCTCTGAGAGTGAGGGGCACAACCAA